ATGAATGGCTGAGTCAGCCAGCTGTTCTTCATATAAGGTGCTCAATGATAGTAGGTCAGGTGAGACTTGTTCCCTCTGCAGGTTTTATTGACATTTTCTCAGTGTCACACTTAACCCCAGGCAGTCTCTTTCCTAAAGTAGGAAGAGAAGAAACAATCAAGCCTAGAGCTGTCTCCAGTGCTCCTGCCTGTAGAATAGGCATCATCCAAAACTTGAATGCATGGTAGTTGCACCATCCCACAACAAGCGGTTAAACCGGTCTTTCCTGGACTCTTATGGGGTAGCAGACCAAGCTGGTTCTTGTATGCATTTTGCTTTTATAAACAGTCTTGTCTAACTTTGGAGATAGGGAAGGAAGTTATTTGGAGTCACTTGTATCTACAGCCAGTGTCAGGTGGGGGATTTAATGGATGGGGGATAAGTGTAGCTACCTGGAAAAAGCTGGCTGTCTAGATTTGGAGTGGTTCTTTTAGTAGTTAGGTATTGTGCCTTTTTTAAGTAAGACTTCCCCCTCTCCTTTAAGTAAGACTTCCCCCTCTCCTCCCTAGAATTTTTGTCTTGCAGCAACTTAAAACCCTACAGTGTAAGAAGTGGTTGTTTTGTTTTGTTTTTTTTGTATAAGAAGTTGGTGTTTGTCTGGAAAGTGTGTATGTTTGCTTCTTTGCTTTGCATCCTGCATTGAGCTCGACTGAGGGTCTACCCAGGACTTCTGCCTCCTACTTCGAAGCTCCTGCTGGTTCACTGCCAATACATTGTGATCAAAAGTCAAGAGCAAGGACATCAAAGCAGTGTGAGGATTTTCAGCAGCATTTGTGTTAAACTAAAACCTCAATGAAGGAATTAAACTTTTGTTTAAAAAAAAAATAAATTACATAGACTTTTTTTTTGTAATTTGTAAATGCTTTTAAAGCAAGTATGGTTCTACTGAGCCTCTGTATGTGCTGTTACTGAGAGCTTGAGCATCCATAGGTTGGTGGAGGACAGAAGAACTTTCAGTTCCTTTGTACTAGCAATATACCACTCGTGTGGAAGAAACTTTAGAGCCCAGGTACCTTTGCTAGAGGATGCATTAGTTTCATATCGGATACATCTGATCTTAGGCAATTCAGTAAACATGGTAGCTCAGCTAGTTGAGTTCTGGGTGCTAAATGCAGTTTCTGTTCTATTCATGCAGTATGATACCATCATGGTATCTTGAGTACTTGTTCTGTCTAAATACCGCTCAGCTATGTGATGACATTAATTGGATTAAAATAACAGTGAATTTGAAATGGTTCACTAGCCCCTTTTTAAGATGGTGTGCTTCACAGGTTTCTTTGGAAAGAGATGAGGGTACAGGTAAGTTGCATGACTGTCATAGTAGTGACATTAAGAACCTTTCTTTAGTGCACAAGGCACTGATTCATATGAAAAATGTTATGGGGGGAGTTGGGAGAATCCAAAAGCTACTTGAAATGTACTGCCTGCCCCCTCCATTGCTAACAGGCACACCAATTCTGCTTTGGACAGTCTCACTGTGCATAGTAGAACTTAGTGATTTAGCATCTCTGAAAAGCACCATTTGACAGGGAGATATTGATTAAAAATACGGCTGTCAAGCGATTAAAAATATTAATTGCAATTAATCAGTTTTAAACTGTTTCACTGTTAAGCAATAATAGAATACCATTTATTTAAATACTTTTGGATGTTTTCTATATTTTCAAATATAGACTGGAGGCTCTGGGCTTCAGCCCCTCTCTGGACATGGGGCTCCTGCCTCCCTCCCCGCCCAGGGGTATGCTATGTTAAAAAATTGATTTTGTTTTCAGTTAATCACAGGTGTTAACTAGGGCTGTCGATTAATCAGTTAAAACTATAGTGGGTGATATTGCTTGGATGGGTGTGTGCCTCCACTGGATAAAAGATTCCCATACATCAGAGACCTATAGTGAGAGCAATTAGATATAATTGACAAGATTCCCAATTGCTTCCTGGGGTTTCCCTGTTCAAATGCAAAAGATAATATATTCCTATTCTAGAAGGACATTCTTGTTGTCACACCTTTAAGGGAAACAGATGCTTCTGGGTGACTAAAATCAGATGATGCATTTAAGAGGTGTAGATGTCTCGATATAGATTTGCATGTCCATGATTCTTATAGTGAAATTAAATACCTCTTCTCCCAATCCCTCTTGCATTAGTTTGAGTGCAGTAGCGCTGCTCAATGCACATTGAGCTCTGTGCCTAAACTAAATCCCTTTTTCCTGCACTTGGTTCCTAATTGGCTCTGTAGTGGTCTGAGCCCTTAAATGAATGTGAAAGGTGCATATTTCAAATTTAGCAGACAGTTCTCTAAGTGAACTACATGCCACGTGCATACATGCTGTTCTTTACTGAACATCATCAGCCTTCCATGTCTTTACCATACGGTTCCTGGGAACATCTTGTTGCAGAATGATGCCTTTTGGAAGGTGATATTATACAGAAGGGGAGCCTGTAGTATAAGGGTATGCTTACACTACGAAATTAGGTCAAATTTATAGAAGTCGGTTTTGTAGAAAGTGTTTTTATACAGTTGATTGTGTGTGTCCCCACACAAATGCTCTAAGTGTATGTAGTCGGCGGAGTGTGTCCACAGTACCGAGGCAACCGTCAACTTCTAGAGCGTTGCACTGTGGGTGGATATCCCACAGTTCCTGCAGTCTCTGTCGCCCATTTGAATTCTGGGTAGAAATCCCAGTGCCTGATGGGGCTAAAACATTGTCGCGGGTGGTTCTGGGTACATATCGTCAGGCCCCTGTTCCCTCCCTCCATCCCTCCGTGAAAGCAAGGGCAGACAATCGTTTTGCGCCTTTTTTCTTGAGTTACCTGTGCAGACGCCATACCACGGCAAGCATGGAGCCCGCTCAACTAACTGTCACTGTATGTCTCCTGGGTGCTGGCAGACGTGGTACTGCATTGGTGCTGGCAGCAGTTTATTGCCTTTTGGCAGCAGACAGTGCAGTATGACTGGTAGCAGTCATCGACGTAGTCCTGGGTGCTCTTTTAACCGGGCGCCTGGGCAAACATGGGAGTGACTCAGCCAGGTCATTTCCCTTGTTTCGTCTCATGGTGATTGAGTCCTACCAGCAGTGCACTGTCTTTTAACCTGCAGCTAGCAGAAGATGATGGGTAGTCGTCATACTGCACCGTCTTCTGCCGAGCACTCAGGTGTTGATGATGGCTAGCGGTCATGCTGCACAGTCTGCTGCCAGCAAGATCTATAAAGATAGATGAAGTGGCTCAAAACAAGAAATAGACCAGATTTGTTTTGTATTCTTTCTCCTCCCTCCCTCCCTCTGTGAAATCAACGGCCTGCTAAACCCAGTTTTGAGTTCTATCCTTGAGGGGGCCATTCAGTTTCTCGCAAAGCCACCCCCTTTGTTGATTTTAATTTCCTGTAAGCCAACCCTGTAAGCCATGTCGTCAGTCACCCCTCCCTCCATCAGGGCAATGGCAGACAATCATTCCGCGTCTTTTTTCTGTGCAGACGCCATACCACAGCAAGCATGGAGCCCGCTCAGATCACTTTGGCAATTAGGAGCACATTAAACACCACACGCATTATCCAGCAGTATATGTAGCACCAGAACCTGGCAAAGCGATATCGGGTGAGTAGGCAACGTCAGCGCAGTGACATGAGTGGTGAGGACATGGACACAGACTTCTCTCAAAGCAGGGGCCCTGGCAATGTGGACATTATGGTGCTAATAGAGCAGGTTCATGCGGTGGAACGCCGATTCTGGGCTCAGGAAACAAGCACAGACTGGTGGAACTGCATAGTGTTGCAGGTCTGGGACGATTCCCAGTGGTTGCGAAACTTTTGCATGCTTAAGGGCATTTTCATGGAACTTTGTGACTTGCTTTCCCCTACCCTGAGGCGCAAGAATACCAAGATGAGAGCAGTCCTCACAGTTGAGAAGCGAGTGACAATAGCCCTGTGGAAGCTTGCAACGTCAGACAGCTACCGGTCAGTCGGATATCAATTTGGAGTGGACAAATCTACTGTGGGGGCTGCTGTGATGCAAGTAGCCAACGCAATCAAAGATCTGCTGATATCAAGGGTAGTGACCCTGGGAGATGTGCAGGTCCTAGTGGATGGCTTTGCTGCAATGGGATTCCCGAACTGTGGTGGGGCCATAGATGGAACCCATAACCCTATCTTGGCACCGGAGCACCAAGCCGGCGAGTACATAAACCGCAAGGGGTACTTTTCAATAGTGCTGCAAGCTCTGGTGGATCACAAGGGATGTTTCACCAACATCAACGTGGCATTGCCGGGAAAGGTACATGACGCTCGCATCTTCAGGAACTCTGGTCTGCTTCAAAAGCTGCAGGAAGGGACTTTATTCCCAGACCAGAAAATAACCGTTGGGGATGTTGAAATGCCTATAGTTATCCTTGGGGACCCAGCCTACCCCTTAATGCCGTGGCTCATGAAGCCATACACAGGCAGCCTGGACAGTAGTCAGGAGCTGTTCAACTACAGGCTGAGCAAGTGCAGAATGGTGGTAGAATGTGCATTTGGATGTTTAAAGGCGCGCTGGCGCAGTTTACTGACTCACTTAGACCTCAGCGAAACCAATATTCCCACTGTTATTACTGCTTGCTGTGCGCTCCACAATATCTGTGAGAGTAAGGGGGAGATGTTTATGGCGGGATGGGAGGTTGAGGCAAATCGCCTGGCTGCTGGTTACGCGCAGCCAGACACCAGGGCAGTTAGAAGAGCACAGGAGGGCGCGGTGAGCATCAGAGAAGCTTTGAAGACCAGTTTCATGACTGGCCAGGCTATGGTGTGAAAGTTCTGTTTGTTTCTCCTTGATGAAGCCCCCCGCCCCTTGGTTCACTCTACTTCCCTGCAAGCTAACCACCCTCCCCTCCTCCCTTCGATCACCGCTTGCAGAGGCAATAAAGTCATTGTTGCTTCACATTCATGCATTCTTTATTCATTCATCACACAAATAGGGGGATAACTGCCAAGGTAGCCCAGGAGGGGTGGTGGAGGAGAGAAGCACCGGGAAGGGTGGTGGAGGACGGAAGGACAAGGCCACACAGCACTTTAAAACTTATTGAATGCCAGCCTTCTGTTGCTTGGGCAATCCTCTGGGGTGGAGTGGCTGGGTGGCTGGAGGCCCCCCCACCACTTTCTTGGGCGTCTGGGTGAGGAGGCTATGGAACTTGGAGGAGGGCGGTTGGTCACACAGGGGCTGTAGCGGCAGTCTGTGCTCCTGCTGCCTTTCCTGCAGCTCAACCATACGCTGGAGCGTATTGGTTTGATCCTCCAGCAGCCTCAGCATTGAATCCTGCCTCCTCTCATCACACTGCAGCCACCTTTCAGCTTCAGCCCTCTCTTCAGCCCGCCACTTACTCTCTTCAGCCCGCCACCTCTCCTCCCGGTCATTTTGTGCTTTCCTGCACTCTGACATTGTCTGCCTCCATGCATTCGTCTGTGCTCTGTCAGTGTGGGAGGACAGCATGAGCTCAGAGACCATTTCATCGCGAGTGCGTTTTTTTCGCCTTCTAATCTTCACTAGCCTCTGGGAAGGAGAAGATTCTGTGATCCTTGAAACACATGCAGCTGGTGGAGAGAAAAAAAAACCCAGTATTTAAAAAGACACATTTTCTAGAACAATGGCTACACTCTTTCACTGTGTTAACATTACATACACAGCACATGTGCTTTCGTTCCAAGGTCGCATTTTGCCTCCCCCCACCACGTGGCTAGTCCCTCACCCCTCACCGTGGCTAACAGCGGGGAACATTTCTGTTCAGCCATAGGCAAACAGCCCAGCAGGAACTGGCACCTCTGAATGTCCCCTTAAGAAAAGCACCCTATTTCAACCAGGTGACCATGAATGATATCTCTCTCCTGAGGATAACACAGAGAGATAAAGAACGGATGTTGTTTGAATGCCAGCAAACATACACTGCAATGCTTCTACAATGATTCCTGAATACGTGCTACTGGCCTGGAGTGGTAAAGTGTCCTACCATGGTGGATGGAATAAGGCTGCCCTCCCCAGAAACCTTTTGCAAAGGCTTTGGGAGTACATCCAGGAGAGCCGCGAATGCCAGGGCAAATTAATCATTAAACATGCTTGCTTTTAAACCATGTATAGTATTTTAAAAGGTACACTCACCAGAGGTCCCTTCTCCGCCTGGCGAGTCCAGGAGGCAGCCTTGGGTGGGTTCGGGGGGTACTGGCTCCAGGTCCAGGGTGAGAAACAGTTCCTGGCTGTTGGGAAAACCGGTTTCTCTGCTTGCTTGCTGTGAGCTATCTACAACCTCCTCATCATCATCATCCTCTTCCTCGTCCCCAAAACCTGCTTCTGTGTTGCCTCCATCTCTATTGAAGGAGTCAAACAACACGGCTGGGGTAGTGGTGGCTGAACCCCCTAAAATGGCATGCAGCTCATCATAGAAGCGGCATGTTTGGGGCTCTGACCCGGAGCCACTGTTTGCCTCTCTGGTTTTCTGGTAGGCTTGCCTCAGCTCCTTAAGTTTCACGTGGCATTGCTTCCGGTCTCTGTTGTGGCCTCTGTCCTTCATCCCCTGGGAGAGTTTGACAAATGTTTTGGCATTTCGAAAACTGGAATGGAGTTCTGATAGCACGGATTCCTCTCCCCATACAGCGATCAGATCCCATACCTCCCGTTCGGTCCATGCTGGAGCTCTTTTGCGATTCTGGGACTCCATCATGGTCACCTCTGCTGATGACCTCTGGCCAGCGTGGCAAGCTGCACGTGACCATGCAAACAGGAAATTGAAATTCAAAAGTTTGCGGGCCTTTTTCTGTCTACCTGGCCAGTGCATCTGAGTTGAGAGTGCTGTCCAGAGTGCTCACAATAGAGCACTCTGGGATAGCTCCTGGAGGCCAATACCATCTAATTGCGTTCACAGTACCTCAAATTCAACCCGGCAAGGCCGATTTAAGCGCTAATCTCCTTGTCGGGGGTGGAGTAAGGAAATTGATTTTAAGAGGCCTTTAAGTCAAAAAAAAGGGCTTCGTCATGTGGACGGGTGCAGGGTTAAATAAATTTAATGCTGCTAAATTCGACCTCAGCTCCTAGTGTAGACCAGGGCTAAGCATGCAATGCCAGAAACTTGTAATTCTTCACTGCCTATTACTACCTGTACCCAGGAGTAATGATGCACTCAGCTGCAGTTAAGAGATTTTTATAATTAGGAAGTGCTAAAGATGAACTGCACAACTGAGTGAAAGGCACAGTCAACACAAAACACATCTCTGAAAACATACCTATTCTCACAACCCTGTCTGAACCAGAATGTGACCTCACTAATGGCCGAACTCTTGCATCCCTGCTGTATGATTTTTGCAGAATGAGGCAAACCTAAAGCTGTCTACACAAGAGCAATGTAATTTGCTACTTACTTACTTCCTTTTTGGTAGGAGAGCAGATCTGTTTGAACACCAGCTGATTTTTCCGGACTCCAGTGTGGTTTATTGAAATTTAACAGGATGACTTCAGCCTACAGCAAAGGGAAAATATTGTGCAGGATCAACAAAAGCCTAACCGTTTTCAGCTAGCACATGGAGCAAGTCAAACAAAGTAAATGAGAATTGAGCTCATGCCAAGCTGTAATACATGTGAAAGTTTGACCTGCTGTAAAAGCCGCCTCTCAGGGGTGATCAGTTCAGTCCCTACTGATGGAAGATTTTCCCTCCATACTTTTGCGCTCTACTCTTACATCAAGTTGCAAGTTTGACATAAGTTCTCCAGTGCCCAGCATGTGGAGAAAGTGAAATATTTGAAGTGATTGGTTTGTGCTCCCCATAGTTAATCCCTCCTTTCATTTAAAAAAGTTTGCTGGTCTATGTGCAGAGGGCTGGAGAGCACAATCCCATGTCTGATCACATGGAAGAAATTCTGTTCACTGGATGTTCCTAGAAATTGCCCATTAGTGCGATGTGTCTGAGCCCTGACAAACCCTTGAGACTTGAATCTAATTTATTAACATGATTCGCAGTCGTTCTTTGCTCTCATTTCAGATGTAGATTGCTTCCATTTTTTCTTGTCTGTCGGTATCTTGCTTCCATTGCTATAAATTAACATCAGAAATGAACCATGAAGATGAGAGCATAGGTGGTTCTTCCTACTAAAGAAATCGGAAATGCTGTCATTTAAAGCAAAATTACCCTGTATCTGTCCAGACACAAAAATAGTGGCTTGTGAAATTGATAAAACCCCACCCCCAGAAAAAGCTTGGCCAGTAAAACAAATTCAAGGGCTAGTTTTAAAGTTTTCTATATTAGTGGCTGATTTTGGATGGTCAGACCTCAGCAGCTAACGCTCCACAGAACCAACAAGTTGCAACCACATTTATTACTGTCAAAACTCTTGCTTTGTTGGAAAGGGGGGCTCACAAGCTCTAACACAGCCTACAATTGACACAAGAAGAGTATGGTGCTAGATCTGTGCAACCCTGAGACTGAACTAATGCACTACAATCAAGGTAAGATAATGGTTTCCATGCTGCTCCCTGACCGCACTGCTGAGCAGCCACTGGCCATCTGTGCTCCAGTATCCTTAACTCACTGACATCTTGCGGCTATTCTTGCTGATGCCTCAGTCCCTAAAGCACCCAAGTAGATGAGCTGTAACATGCCTGTCCCTGGCTAATGCTGAAGATAGCAGTGAGGGCAGCCAATGAGATTGTGGCAGGGCGGTGTCTCTGTGTGGAAAGAGGATATGGTAACCTAGTCCTCTATTTCTCAGGGGCTGCAAATGACATAACGTAAAATAAAGCTTATTCACCATCTGCAAAGGAGAATGAATTGAGAGCAAGCCAGGAGGGGGAGAGAATGTGTGTATGTGGAAAACAGGAGCAGCTGGAGGATAAACACAAGGTAAAATATTGGTACAGTATTTCTAAAAGGGGGTTTCTGCCTCCTCCCCTTGGCTTAGTGATGTACTATTGTTTTCCTTTTTAATTGCTTAAAGAACTAAAGTCCCCTCTGACCCTTTTTAAACAAACCTCCTAGGGATGGTTCTAAGTGAACCTCATCAGTCCTTGGTTTTTTGATCAACACATTCTTCTCTTAGCAATTTAGTGCATACAATTATAAGGGTGTTTATGCTTTCCTGCCCCCAATCAAACCTTTTGCAGAGCTGTCGGACTAGAATACCCAATCTGAAATTCCTAGAGAAAAGGAAGGAATCCCCAGCCTTTGATGATATTTACTTCATGTGAATATTTTTTTTTTTTTTTGTCCAATGTAGATTAACTGTTTCTTATCAAGGCACTTCTGAAAGTGGTATCAGACTGTAAGGGATCACCAAGATTGCTGGATCTGACTTCCCCTTCTCTTCCCCCAATTTCTCCCCACACTGGTTCTGTGACCCTCTGAAAAGGCTGGGGTTAGGATGGCATTGTGTGGGGTCTGTATTCATTGTGTGGCATTGAGTCTGGATCAAATTTGCTCAGTTTATAAATAGTGTGGTTCTTTTCCCCTAATTTGGCAGTCCAACCGAGTCTGGGATCTGCATCAACTTACTACCCCAGTCACAAAATCTACTTGCTCTTTGCATCATCACAGGTGATAAAAGACTGCACCCTCAGCTGATATTATTTGGGGCAGTGTCAACACACGTTTTTATTCGCTATTTGTTTGTGATACAGCCTGTGATGTGCTAGTGTTTTCTAGACGCTGAAGAAGGGACTATCCCTGGCCTAAGGAACTCCTGGTCTAAAGACAGAGTGAGACCAACAGAGGAGGGAGAACAAAAAGATGGACTTCATATATAGGTTACCAAGATTCCCCATAGGCTGTACTGCAGAAGTGGGATTTTGAAGAGGGACTTCAATAAGGACAGGGTATGGGCCTTATGGACAGGAAACTTGGTTGCCCCATGCCTAGGTGCCCTTGACGGAGAAGGCCCCGAAGCCCAGACTCAAAGAGATTTAGGAGCCTAAAGAAGCAGTAGGGCTAGAATACCCACTAAAATTCCTAGAGGAAAGAAAGTACAGCCGCTCCCCAGCCTGCGATGACATTGGCTTCATGTGCAAGAAACTGACAAACAGGTGAGCAAGGCGTGGGGGCAACATGAAGTCTGACATAGTCATATAAGTAGGGGGGAGCAGAGTTAAACTTCTTGTCAGCTCCTCCAGCTTGTATAACTTTGATGCAAAAGCAGATGGGGGACAGTCCAGTGGAGGGATTTGGAGGAGAGATAATCAAAGGAGTTCAGCTGCATTTTGTATGAACTGAAGGGAGGCGCGTGCACACATGTCTGTGTGTAAAAGTAATATGGTAGGTGAGACAGATGCTGAGGAGGAGAAAGCAGCAGGATTTGGGTTTGACCAACTTGTGTAGGGAAATGGAGGAGGATCCAGGCTCAGGGAGGATGGTGGCAGTGATATCAGTAACAGAGGAGAGGCAGTGGAGATGGATTGAGAGGGAAGATCAGGAGTTTGGCTTTGGTTGTACTATGTTTTCATCCAGGAGATAACTGAGATGCAGGCTGACAAGTGAGAGTGGATGGGAAGAGCAACAGTCCCTGCCCTGAATGTACAATTGGAAGCGTACCCTCTGTGACAGCTGTTTGCTCCCATTGTCACCCTGGGATTCTGCGAGACTTCACCCAACTTCAGTGAGCCTGTTTGCATGTGTGTGAAGTTGTGCAGCTGTCTTTGCAGGAACAGGGCCTAAGTGTGTCACTGTGGTATCTGAGTACCACACGGGTCATGGCACAATTAGGTCCCCAAAACAGGATGGGTGAATAATCCTGGAGAGGTGTGGAATGCATCTCCCCCCACCCTTGCTGGAGAGCTTGCACTCAGCCAACTTCCTCCCTGGGGTGACCTACATTGACTTCAGCAGAGTTTGACCCATGGTGTTGAACTCATGTAGTTACATACTGCTAAAGTGGCAACCAGTTAGGTTTTGTTTTTATCACTAATGGGAGCAGAAGGGGCTCAGACCACTCCTACGAAGCAGAGCTGTTGAGTCAGAAGTTGACATTTTGGCAGGGACTCTTCAAAGCAGAGATACCTTGGAGATGGGTTGTCATCTCTGAAAACTTGGGCAAGGTGGAAAGGAAATAAAAAGAGATGGGGTTGGGGGAGTCACGGTTTGAAGAGTTATTTGTGCAGCAGGGGAGCTCTGTTTCAGTACGACTGATCTAAAAAGCTGCTGGGAACAGCTTCCCAGCTCAGTGCACACAGGTACCCTGTGGAATAAGACTCACCCCATCACTGCAGGAAGCTTCTAGGTAAGCTCTCAGAAGATTAGAGGAAGTGATTACCACCAAAACCTTTTTCTTAGGCTGCTCAGGGCTTCATCACAGCCAGAAGGAAAGTTTGCATTGAGCCACATTCTATCCTGGGGTAACCTCCATTGACGTCTATAGAGCTGCAGTAGGGATGAGTTGGGCCCATGATGCTGAGCTCATTGTATTTACATGTCATCTTAGATCGGAAATCTGTGGCAGCTGCTGCATGATGTGGTTTTGTATTTTTTTAATGCCTTTAAATAAGATCCCACTTTCTTCATATTATTTGTATTGCAGTAGCGCCTGGGACCCTAAGGCATGAACCAGGACCTCATTGTACTAGGCAGTGGACAAACAGTCCCTGCCCCGAAGAGCTTCCAATCCAAGTATAAGATGAGACATTGTATTCCCTACCTGTCTTTCTCCACCCAAGGAAACAGTGGGACTGCAGTGGGCAGCATGGGGTAAAACCCCATTCCACTTACCATGTGAGAGGCAGCAATGCAGCGTTGCCCCTATGCTGAAGGGTTGGGCGGTGTTTGCCCTGCCCATGCCTTTGCCCTGCCACTGGACTGCTCAGGAGGAGGTCGCCCAGTGCTGCTGTGGAAGGAGCCCCTACACCCAATGCCTGTTCCCTATCCTGCACCATGGAACCACAGTGGTTCTGCCATGTGGCCCTCCACAGCCACTCTGCTGGATTTGCTCAATGTTCCCCACAAACTAATGAGCAACACTATCCTAAAGGCTGGGAATTATAGGCCTGATCCAAATCCTATTGAAGTCCAAGGAAAAGTTCCCCAAAGGCTTCAGTGGGCTTTGGATGAGGCCCTAGATGCCTGGATTAGCTTCAGTGGGAAGGAATGTTTAGCTTCCCCGGCACAGAGATTGTGCCCTGGGAAGTGACTGTAAAGTACCCAGCTCCATGGAGACTCAGGTCTCTCGTTTCCTGCACTGGCATAGACTTCAGCCAGACCAGGTGCTCTGTCAGGACAAACTGCCAGGCTCAATCTCTCTGTTTTGATGGAGGTGATTCTAGGCAGCCACATGTAGTTGGTACAGGAGCAGTGGTAATCTGGGATAGACACACTGCAAAATCTTATCAAGCTACAGAAGATACCAGACCTCCACAGAAAGGACCACTGGATTGATGTGTCTCTCTTGGGGATGATTGGCTCTAGCTGCTCATAAAAACACAAGGGAAAGCAACAAAAGGTACATTATGAGACTGCAGGCTGCTGCCATGAGGCAGCTCTGCTGGAAAAACATACAAAAGCTTTGCCCCCAACATGGCGAAACAAGTATATAAGGAAACGTTAGAGCTCATCCCATAGGAGAGGAGGGATAAAATGCAGCTCTCATGTTAGCAGAGAGCTGGGGTAAGACAGGGTGGATGGTGGAGGAAAGACAGAAAAATCAATCCTCCCACTGACCAAGGGACAGGGCAGTCAGTCTTCCAAAGCGGCCTGGGGTCAGTGTTTGAAGGCGGGGTCATTTCTTGTGAGTTAGTTATAGGTAGGAGCAAACTAGTCAGCCAGACAATAATGCACCTTTCCAGCTGGCGAATGACTCAGACTCACTTGCCCCATAACCTTCTTACAAACTCTTATGGGTTTTTTCTACCTGATCCTAGTGGCTAAAGGAGGTCTCAGAATGGGGGACAAGGCCAGGATGCAGCATGGACACTCTGAGAGGAGGGAGGAGGAAGACAGAAGGTGGAGCTCCAGGAGTTACAATGTAGGAGCAGTCTCCAGCTTCCTCTCCACCCTTGTGACCTTCCCCATCTACAAGACCATCTTCCGCCAACAGATCCATGCCTTTTCCATACAGGAGGCCATACAGCAACTGCACCAGGAGGGAATGCGCCGCTTCTACCGGGGCCTCTTCCCACCACTCTTGTCCAAGACGCTCCAGGGAACCCTGTTGTTTGGCACCCATGACAGCTTGCTCCTTCTCCTTACCAGCAACCCTTC